CTGATAATACGGAGGCCAGTTTCGACAGCCCAGACCTGGACATGACCATCGGGACATCCTGATAGCACAAATTGGCTGTCAGGAGTAAAGCAGGCATCCAAAGGCTGTCGATGATCAACATTAGCTAAGACCTATAGATGATATGAATAAACGCAAGGACTGTCAAGAAATTCGTGAGAATATGAGGATGATCAAGATGAGCAACAAGTTACTAGATAATAATATGGGGAAACAATTATTTGGAGATAAAAAATGTGGGGAATTAACAATTGAGGTGGACACCAGAAATAATAATAAAAAATGAAATTATAAGTCACATAAAAAATTAGTTTTATCAATAAATTAGGACGAAGGAAACAAATTGGCATATGAAGATAAAGCTAGTTGTAGGATTGAAGTACTCTTGATTGTCATTTGATTAAATACCAAATCAGAGAAAGGTAGAGAGAAAACATATGTGAACTTTCAAATAAGCAAACTAAACATTTCGATAAACGAAAGAACCTAAACATATTTTAAAAAGTGAAATTGAAAAAAAAATTAAATGAAATAAATAAAGGGAGCAATAGTAGGAATGAGGAGAATTTCGGCCCGTCGTTAAAGCCTGCTTATAATAAATAGAATTAAACTGAATGGAAAATTACAGTTAGCACATGCTGAAGTGACCCTTTGAAGGCGTCTATCAGCTTAAGCTGTGTGCCATTTGTCTGTATTAGCAGAGTCTTGCCGTCCGGAGAAAACTTTAATCCCGTCCACTCAGTGCCGGGGAGGTCTCCTGAGGCCATAAAGGTTGTGTTCCGACTACCTAAAGTGGCGGAGGTAGCAGCAGCCGGATTGGCTGGAGTAGTAGCTATCTTAAAGGTAGCAAAGGGGCCTTTGTCGAATGAACGTAAGTCATAAAGTTTGATACTATCTGAGTTGATACCAGCAGCGAATATGAGACCTTCAGGATCGAATGCCGCTGTAGGCCGGCCTGAAACATGCATCACACCCTAAACGGTGAAAAACGGAATAAATTGTAAGGATAAACAATGTGTATAAGAAAGAAATAATAAAGCAGCGGATAAATTGATAGAAATGATATAAATACATACTTCATCAATATTAAAAACATTATTCAAATTAGGTCACACGTGGTGAGTGA